CTGGAAAACCGCTACAAGAGCCGGTAAACATCCACCGATTGCTTCATTGACTTCATTGGAGCATTTTACTCAGTAAGTCGGAAAACCCAGTGGTTCATCTTGATGAATGATGACGTTCCAGGTAAGCCGCTGAGCTCACTCAGTCATAAGAGCCTGCGTCCGAGTACATGGAGAAGATACTCCTTTATTCGGTTCAAAATGCCGTTTTCACCTAGGTCGCTCAATTTTGTCCACGCATTTCAATGTTTTGATTGACCGGAAAGTCCTTACCAACTGCATTAGGGACCTTGATTACGTCGATGATATCGTCGTCATGAGCAATGATTCGATAAAAATAAAGTCCATTCTTAATTGTATCGGCCACTACGCTTTGCTGGCTGAACTAGAAATAAATACTGAGAATTCGAAACACTTCACCGCAGGCATGGATGTCCATTCGAGCCAGTTTAGGGTTAACCAAGAATCCATATACAATACCTATTGATTCAAGCACTTGAGCTCCATTATCCTTCCGAACGGTCAAGCACAGCCACACTAGGGAAACGTCAATACATCCCCACACTTTATGAAAACACTCGGAAATTAGCCTTCGGAAGAATCTTCATGTGTATACTGAGACTGTCCGATTCGTACTGAGATGCGCCTGTGACACGCGATCACTTCGAACTGTCGATCTTCAAGACGAAAAAATATTTTGCCACTGATGCTTATGGAAACTGCCCAGCGTAATTTGGGAACACAAGTATACCAACGATGGTGTTGTGATGATTTAGCCCCTTTCGATTGCTCCAACGACGCAACCTACAGTGGCTGGGACACATTCTGAACAAACTACGCTCGAAACTGTCCAACTTCAACCTGTCGCTACTTGCCTGCTCGAAATGCTGCTGTCACACCGGCTGCCAGTTGAAAACTTGACTGACTACAGTTAAGGATGACCTTTATCTACTTGATCTCTAGGTGACAAATGGAGTGAAATGATGGAACAGAAGCGGCCTTACTCATCTTGTCGATTTACCCTTCCTCTGAGCTACTTATCTTCAATCTGTAAGTAGCTCGGGGAATAAGCTTATAAGGGGCATATAGAAGTCACAATTTCGAGACCCTGTAGTTTCAGGGGATTCTCGTTGCTGACGAGTCTCAATAAGGATAAAACAGCGAATACGATGACTCTCGACTTTTCAGCAGAGACTGGCTTCACTATCAGGATCAAATACCAATGGAAAATCATCGGATCTCCTCAAACTACCATAAACAAAATAATCGAACTGTTTTTGCTATTCTCAACTAACAATTAACATAACAAGGGCACAACCACTAACACACAACTACGCACTACTACGCTTCCCAATAAGGCACTGATGATGTCACCTCGATTGGTGGTGAAACGTTTGCAATCGAATTGCGCAGCTCAGCGAACAAGCCAACAACCAACAAGGAAACCGTATAATTCGCGCTACTTCTGAAGCTTCGGAAAGATGAAAAGTTCGAAAGGAGGCATATTTTTTCTGACCTATATGGTCGCATACTTAATTTTCTCTGTTAAAACAACCAAGTTTAGCCACGAGCGTCACTTAACATTGGAATGTGTAACTTCAAAGACAGTACTGTTTACAGGGGTTGTGTCCAACACACTGTCAAAGGCATCTTACTTTGCGTTCCGAGTTTGATGTGCAAAAAATGAAAAGCTATTCGACTTACACTCGCTCTTTGGTTTCAGCGGAAATGGTTTTTAAAGAATCTATTTCTTCCTGTCCGTCCTGACAGTGGCGAAGTAGCCTGAGATTGGCTTCTTCAAGGTCAGATAAAATTTCCAATACTTGATTCACCGAAGTGAAGAAAAGCTCCTCTTCCTGTGGGAAATCCAGTAGAAGGGACAGTGTAGAAGTTGCACTCTCGTTCACACAAGGCTTGCCGGACAATAAAGTTGCAAGTATTTAGAGAACCATTCAAAAGTGGTTTGTTATACGAGTTGGTTACTAGTATATCGTATTATTCTGTTACTCCACGCATATAGGTATCGTCGCTTGTCGAAAAACTAACATAGCTGTATAGAGATAATAGTTTTAAGTGACCTTAGTACCGGGATTGTCAATCTCCTGGTTCATCTGAATGAAATAGTTAAGATGAAATCGGGCAAAATGATGGATCCAACCGAGAGTCTAGTGCGGACCATTTTACATCATTACTATTATTATTATTGTCATCGTTGTATTATTGGAAGGCTCAAATTAATACCGGTTCGTACGGTCCATACGGAATGTTGATTCTGGTGGGAATCGCCTTCCCAACTAAGACCAACTGAGCCGTTTTTATCGTTTGGTTGATATGAAATTGTGTACCTAGTAGTCGCCTGCTCTACTAAAACCAAGCTTCCATGATATGGATCTTGAGAGTTGTTGAAGACTGTCTATCGTTTGGCGCAGTCAACTGCTCCCATCTGAAGTCTTGCACTCACTGTCGTAGTGCCGTTTACGAGCATTCCGTAGTAAGAATGCTGAACGAGGAGTTTTGAAGCTCCATGGCCAGCTGTTTGGCTGATTACGTTAACCTTTAAGATGAGCTCGCATATCTAAATAGTTATTTTCTGGGAAACTCGTATTTTACAAAGCCGTGGTATCAGGGCCGATATGCACTTCAACAAATGCAAAGGCTCTGCATACATTTTCATTATATGGCTGAGGGTGGCTCATTCACAGATTTGCGCCATAACAGTGGTTGATTTCCGAGCAACTTCAGTATATATCAGCCATGGCCTATTTACGCAAAAGAACTGGTAGGGGAATTCGGCTCCTGTCATCGAAGATTGAGTGGCAACTTCAACCAACCCGTTGGGTTTCATTTTTTTCTTGTACGGTCCTCTAGTGCCTTGGCTCCTTCGTTTAGTTAATACATTTACTTGCATTTCAACTGGTTAGCAGCTTCTCTAATAAACAACATATTGTTTCAGAACAGCTTAGTGAACAATCGGTAGTTTTTTATTTGGGCAACGTTTCGCTTTTGGCAAAAAGCTGCATCAGGCCAAGTAAGCAGGTCACCAAATTGACCAGGTTATAATATAGACGGGGAACCAATCAGTAAGTCAGTCCTCTTCAGATTATCACACTAGATCAGTGGTAAGTGTCAGTTAACGGCTCTTGTCGGTTAGAGTGGTTGTCAAAATCCTGCGTTGGTGGATTAGGGAAGTTCCAGATTAATTCTGGTCGGGTTTGGTTCCTTAATCTTCCACTTCAGGGTGCCCCAATTGATGATTCACCTCGGGTGCCACTGGTAGAATTCCCTTCGTTTTTGTGGGGTTGTGAGTGCTACGACAACTTAGTTTGATGAGGGGGGGGGTTGAGGTCAAGTGGAATTCAGGTGATGACCACTGTTCCTTCTGATGACCGCACACCAAAACGTGTCAGCTCGACTGATCCTGAACCGTTCTCCAAACGCTTGCCAGTTCCACACCTTTTATTCTGTTAACACTGGGATGCTCGGCGATCAGTCTGTGTGACGTGGACCGTAGTCCTCGCCTCAAAACCTCAACATTTTCTAAATCTATTTTGTGTCCTGTGTCCAGTGCGTGTTTCGCAATCGCTGAGTCTTTCAGTAACGCTTGATATTTATCTGCGTTTCTCGGCGGCCTGTTTATTTTTCTACCATGCTCTCCGACTCTGATGTGTAGTTCCCTGGCCGTCTGTCCTACATAGACCTTGGTGCAGTCATTGCACTTAATTTTGTAGACACAGCCCCTGGTTCTGTTTGACGGGATGCGATCCTTCGATTGCACCAGTGCGGAGTGCAGAGTGTTTCACCTCTGGAAAGCCACTTTTATGTTGGCCGTGTTTAGAATTCTTCGAATGGCCTCCGATGTTCCTGGTTTATATGGAATAACAGCGGTCCCGATCCATTCCCTGTTGGTTTTCGCTGCCGGGAGCAACACTCTTCGCTATTGACGCCCAATCAAGCTAGGTGGATATCTGCTACCTCCACGTTTGTTCCTCACTTCAATTTGGACCGCTATCCGACCAGCTTCTGTGCACAGGGCCCTTACGCGCCTAAAAATTGACGAGGCATTACTGGCGAACACATACTTCTGATAGGCAGACGAGTAGTTTATAACTGCCCCAGTATCAGCTGGCTTATCTTTAGTTTTACCGCGACCTTATGTGTCATGCAGTCTCTCTATCTCCATACTAAATTTGATGTGTGGACTCAGTTCATTCAAATGGTTGTAAAACTCACTAACCTTGTTCCGTTTCATCACGACGAACGTGCCATTTACATAACGTCTGAATATCTTAGGTGGGTATGGGAAGTGTACTTTTGGGGGTAAAATGGAAACCAGTTACCTTGCTCTAGGTGGTTCATCACGGACCGCAAATATGTGCCAACTTCGGTTTTACTGTTATCCATTATAGATGTAATATTCGCATTATTGATCTCCCGGTGAGGACCCTCAGCTAGGTGTTGCTTGACCTTCCGTAGATAATCACTTTTGTTCGTGACACCAGTGGTCTTACACTTATCCACCTTTATGATCACTATGCTGTTCACCTTTTTAGGGTTTTTAAGGCTTTTTGCTCCGCGGGTATAATATTTTCAGTTCCTGGCAACTGGGACTTAATGACTGTGACCCGCTGTACCCTTAGCTTCTCCGCCTCTGTTGGCGGAAGTTTTCGGAACACAGATTCAGCGCTAGGGGTTATTTCTTCTGCCCTTATCATCCTCTTGCTTACAGCAAAATTCAAGCTTTTCTCTAAGATACAACGCTCTCCCTCACTTAGCGGTCTGTTTGATAGATTTACCACGCTACGATAGCTTGTTGGGGGTTCAGGCTCAGTCAAGGGCTCATCAGAACTCTGAGTTTTTGAAAGTAACTCATCTAACTTACGGATTTGTCTCTGTTTGCAGTGTTGTCCTTGGGCGGCTTTCACTTCTGTTCCTTTGGTTCTGAGTCTGCCGGCGAGAGCACGGTTTGGAGATCTTGGTTGAGCCGACATGCGTGGTGATGGATATCAGATAAACGTCGAGTGGTCAAGTATATCCTCTGTTTGAGGAATGACTTGACCGCTGAGAATGCTATTCGGGTAGAAGCGAGTGACGCGTCCGGTGGCTTAACCAGTAAAAATGTAGGGATTATGTTGCGCTTCAAGCACCCTTTATTGAATAGGCGGTAGTTCTCCCAGTTCGCCTCTAGCCTTGCCAATCGAACGTAGTCACTTGACAATTTGCGAACACATGGTCCGGAGTTGTTTTCAATCAGTTGAAAACATAACGTAACATAACATATTGATTTGGTTGGCCCAAAGCGATGTGGATGCTCTTTAACTTATCAGTTTATGGTCACTAGAACCAAGCCTCCTGTGAATCGGGATTTGGGTGTTACATTCATGCCTTTTGTAGTCTGCCAGCCGGGTGGAACGTCTACTGAAATTTTTAAGCGACCTGAACACTTAAAGTTTTCTAGGCAGTTTTGGAGGCAATAACAACCTCTTTTCTCTCGTTTAAAAATACACTACTTACGCTCTCATCGCTGCTAGAATCCAGGTGTTCCTCGTCAATGGAGCTGAAAGCTCGAGGAGTTCTTGGACTCGATGAAACAGACGTTGGGGATCTGTGAATTCACGATAAATAGTAATGAAGAGGCATATATCGGTACGTCTTTAGTCATACCTCCCACAGTTTTGTGAGTTCTGACCTTGTAACTGGTAGAATTTGGATGACTAAAGATGTCTTTCTTAAACATATCCAAATATTTCAAAATGCAAGGAAATTTTAGTTCCATCAGGCCGATATTCTAGGTGGCCATTCACATAATCCTGATGTAAAACTGTCGAACGTTTTTGGTTGTTATCAAATCTATCTGACCAACTTTCCTGGCAGCCAGGCAGCAAAAGCTTGCTTGAACCTGAATCGACTTGCTTGTTTGAAGTTTTCCTTCACAAACTTATTACTTTTTAAACGTCGTGCTGTTTTATGTGGAGAAATTCTGGGGGAAAACTGAGTCCTAATTCGTTGGAGGACGCGCTCGGACAAAATGCATAAAACTCAACATTCTCCCCAGCGGCAGTCTTAGGTCTTGCATAAATTGTAAAATAGTCCTCGATATTTCTCTAAAAAGTCGGAACTGCTTGTTTCAATAAATAAATAAATAAATAAATAAATAAATAAATAAATAAATAAATAAATAAATAAATGAGAAGCGAAAATACATGCATATATGTGCCAAGCTAAGTCACTAGTGGTTTTCAACAGGTTATTGGTGCGCATATTACAAGCAAAAACAGAAAGGATAACAGCCAAGAAAAGGAGGAGTGACTTCTTTTTTCGGACGAATGTTCTAACGACTGAACTACAACAAACGGTGAATGGTGTTGCAAAGGTGGATTTGGATTTAAAATGAAATTCTCCAAAACAGCGGTCTCTGGATGGCCAGAAGATATCAAGACATAACTTATTTCGAAAACCGTACGTGGCATTCGTCGGTGGCATTGACATTCTTCCGCAGACGTGCTGCTAGTCACAGTGGGGTCTTATTACGTGTAAGAAATACAAGCTAACTCACAAAACAAAATTCCGAATCTCCTCACACTATTGGGAGAAACCTCCATGGTAAGGCTGTGTCCACAGTAGCCGTTGCCCATTTGACAAAAATTGATCAGTGGTTAGGTTGTCGTCGGCTTTATACCCACTTGTGCTTTGTCCCATATATTCTTAGTGGAAAAGGACACACCGATCAGGAAACTGAGAATCTTTTTGGGTAGTAGGTTGATAATGCTCACAGTTACAATTCCTCTGCGAAGCTGGAAGTGATGCCACGCTGCGAAGCCCAAAAATCACTGAGGTAAGCAGATCAACGATGCACTCGATGGTAATGCAACGTAGTAAATAGAGACAATACTAGCGAAACTGCTGGAAGTAACTCACTTGGAAGTAACCGGAGGTCTGAGAGTTGACTTTCTCCGCATCATGAATGATGGCCTTCTTCTGATATCTGGGGGCACTGGGACAAAGAAGCATATGTGATGCCTATATCAGAAGTGGCGTGGGTATCCGTTTTTTCCACTAAGTTTAGTATATCCGAAAATCCCGTTCGTATTTCCATTAGAAATCTAAGAAATCTAAACTATGGTGTGAAAACGCTAAAACATATATATGTCGCAAACTCGCTTTGGGTGGATATGAAATGATACAATCGTGGTTGCAAAAAGCCGAAGTAGGTGGACACCTTATGGTGGCTTGTAATGGTGTAGATGGTGCTTAAGTGTGGGATTGCATGTTGAGCCACCTCGTTGAAGCGGACGCAGAGAGCTGGGTTCAGATGTGAACTTACTACTCCTTTAATTGTCCTATTTAATAGCAAACTAATTTGCAGATCTATGATTCACTGAGTAACCTTCCTCTTAGTCATTGAACTAGGGCTATGAAGCTTGAATGGACGTCATGTGACACAATGAATGTGAACTACTATTCAAGAACTAGTTAACCAATAAATTTATCGAACGGGTACTAACGAATTAGCCAACTGACGCCGGTGAACGTTTGGAAGAAAACCTTCCTGAATTGACAGAAAGCATCGCAATTGATGAAGATACTCAACAGTAGGATAAGCGGTAGAATTTGAAGACGTCATTTTCGATAGGTTAACCTAGATCGATATATAGGCTTCAACTTTGCTTGCATCCTGCGCCTTCAGTAATCCCAACAAAGGGTCATATTTATGTATGATATAACTATTTTAGGGGCCCCTCACAGTGACCAGGAATGAAGGCCTGATCGAAGCAAGCTCTTAGGTGATAGATTCTAACGACAAAATATATCGTCAAAGGTTCATCATTTTTGGGTTAGGTTCAAGAAAACCAGTCAGGACCTTAATAACAAGAGTAAGTAAAAGACCAGCCGTGACGTCGCGGTATATTAGTGACCCGTGTTCCATCAAACAGGCTTCATGCAGCAAATGGTCAGTGAACATTAATGGTCGCTAACATACAACAAATGAGTACGAACGGCACCATGACATATCGGGAGGTCTTTGAGAACCAACATGAGACCTTCCAGGAAACGGAAATGGTTTCAATATCTCTGAAACTTCTGACACTACACACTAATTTTGGGCAACTACTCACTCTCAGGGAAGAAACAGCCAAAGCAAATAAAAGTAAACATCGAGGAAATTTTTCATCGAAAAAAGCTAGTTCTGTCTGTTACTTTCAGTGTTCAGCGGAACACAGAGAATCTCGAGTCTTTCTCTGAGTTAAAACTGAGCCAGTTTGTGGCTCGAGAAAGCTCTGCAGTCCGATGAGACTGTGGGGTCAAACTATTCATTCAGTAAAAAAGCGTTCTGTGTGCCTAACCCCTTTGAGACTGAGGTATGGTTGTGAAAGTACACCATCTACAAAGATTGAAACTGGACTACATTTCTCAAAGAAGTGAATCACACAATGACTGTGTTTACTATTTTTGTGAGGTTCTGTGGATTACCTGTACTGTAAAGAAAATATCTCCCAAAAGCGGATGATTTTTGTATTCTTGAGAAATATACTGTTGTATTCATAATGAAGGATCCCCCAGAACACTGAGCACTCCAGTGGGGAGTGGACATTGACTTTTCCATCCAGGCACATTCTACATTAACCACCCTTCTGAATGAATGCGAAAAAGTCATATCCTCGTCGTGTTCTTCTTTCGGAAAGAGTACTAAACTACACTGATGTGACAAAATACATTTTCATAGCAGTAAACCTAATCGAAATTTATATAATGCCTTACTGACTTTTTTCTATCAGAAAAAATTAAAATCCAATTTCTGGACGCCCGAGACTAAACAACCTTTGGATGTGTATCTGTGTGGGGGCTCTTTCAACCACAAAGTCAAAACATACCGCTCAAGGGGGGCTGTATGGTCAACTTCCGCCGTGCTTCTTCACGCGCTCTTGCCTTGGCCAGTCGTCTTTCTTGACGGATTAACTGACGTCCGGACCGATGCGGTTCAGGTACCAGACATTCCAAGAATTGCTTATAGCCTCGGTATTCTTGAACGACTGACCGAAGCCTGTTGTTTTCTGCGGTAAGTTTTTGTTGTTGTACACTCAATTGTCTGATTTCGTCAACGATGGCTGATCGCTTTCTTGCTTCTTGTTCTGCACTGTCCATGACCGACAAAAATTCATAATAAACCGGAGTATGCACGTGCAGAAGCATCTTATGGCAGAAAACGAGGTCTTCAAACGAGAAAACGTCTATAAACTGCTAGTCAGCTGACGAATAATCTCCCCCGATTCCGCGTCACTGATAGTGCACGGAGTAAGAAAATATGGTCAGAACTCTGTTCTTCCAATTTCAGGGATCATTCAAACTTTTTGCGAGTTTGTTATTTTTCACTAGTTATTATGATAGGAATAAAATTATAGCATTTTTCCTTCCTTTACTTTGGAGCTTTTTTGTAAGACGATTCAGAAGTTGTGTCTCCATATATCAGAACTTGTCGCACTGTTTAGGAATAAAGTGCATTACTTGAATCAAATCGATCTTTTAGTCGGAATGTGGAGAAAAGTACTCCGATGCAGGCCCCTCCAAATACTGCTGGAGCACGACGTATTTGTTCGTGGATCTCAAATCAAATCCTTTTTACCCCCCCCCCCACACACGAATCTAGTATCTATTTGTTTGACGTGGCGAAGCGGCTACCAACATAAAATGTGTGCGACATGTAGTGCAGCTTCCCGGTTTCTTCCAGGTACAAAAACACCACCAAGGATTATCATACAACTGCCAACTGTTCGCCCCATCGGTGTTATCACTTAAGCGGTTAACATAACAAACTTTAGTTCCTTGTACAAAAATTGTAAGACGCGAATAGAGGGCTTCAAGCCCATGTAGGGAGTAACTTCCGGAGTTGGTATTTCTCTTTTTCATCGACAGGCTTTCATGAATGATGGGAGTCCCAGGGTGATTATAACTGCGGTATTTATAATTTCTGACCGCCTGTGGGTGGCCAGTTCACATGGAAAAATATAATTAAACATTGCAAAAATATATACGCTGACAGATGACGATATTCTTCCATCAGGACCGTCTTTGAGTACAACATACATCGTAGTAACCTTCATTAAAAGCCTGACACGAATACCAACCATCGTTGAGTGGTAACACTAGACTCACTTGGTTATAGCCTCTATCGAAGATTTGTCATTGTCTTTTAAGAACTCGTCAAACAAAGCCGCGTCTTGCTCCAGACACTGTTCTGCAATATTTAGTTTCCTTTCTTCACTTTCTGCAAGTTCTTTCAACCTGTCCAATTCCACATTCTGTACGGCTATGGAATATTCCAACATGAACATTTCGCGATGTTTGGCAATGTACTCCTGATGTGTCGTTCTATCGGCACAACTCCCTATAAAAATTATCTTTTAGGAGATGTGCTGAAATTATGTTACCTTTTATTCTCCGAAGAAGACTTTTTGCTTTTGCAACCTCATCTGGTTCTCTAGGTGCTTCATCGTGTGGAAGGATATATCTTCGTGATAATACGCGTCTATTGATCGGTATTTTGTCAGCCACGCTTTGTTTTAACATATAATTTCTTGCCTGCACACACCAAACTGGTTATTTTTACTGGACATACCTCTCGCTTTCTTTGAAGTTCCGCCTCTTTGAGTTCAAACACGGTTGAAAACTGAGGCAGTTTGAACGGATTATCGGTGGACATTGTCTTCAAGTCAAACGTAGAACTTTCAGCGAACTATTAGGTGAAACAGTGCTGCTCAGGTAGCTATAAATAAATAGCAGACGAATCAGTTTGGAGTTCTGTTTTTCAGTGGAGAATTTCATATGGATTTGTACAACTGGGAATACATTCTGCGGATGAAGAAAATCATTCATCTGTAAGTGAGGCATGAAACCAAATCTCATCCCAGATATTTGTTTTTCCGTCAACCAATTAGTTTAGTTTCCTTATGTATAACTACATCACCGGACACAAGTGACTAATTCAGGAAGCAAAGACTTGGCACTGTGAAAATTTCCTGTCCTAAGAACGTTCCAAAAGCATCCGCTATCCCCTGACAATCTGAAATTTCGAATCCAATCCCTGTTGATCATGGGTAAGCGTGCCACTAGAGTGCCAAAAGTACACTTATCAAATTTAACTTCTTTTTAGGAATTCCAGGTTTATTAGATGAGCCTATCACAAACAGTCACCAAGACTTCTATTTTGAATATTGTCCACGAACAGAACTGAAACAAAAAACTCGACATCAAAAGTGGTCGAGGAATACACAAAAATTGCTTCCTTCGTTTTCTTTCCTCTTTTAAAACTCTGTCCGTTTCCCCTCCAATCTAAAATTTTAACAAACCTTCTCCTGTTCACATAACAAACATACTGCATTCTGATGCTATCTGGTTTGTGAATTTACCAAAACCTCTGTTTTTCTCTGATACATCGGCGAAAAAGCACTGGCGTTGTACTCACATACTGTACGTTATCACGCTGGAAGACATCACTTGTGGCAAATCCAAGTTTATCAGAAAAATGCACCGCAGCAGTGCACCAGAAGTGCCTGAAGAAGTAATTATGCTATAAATGCATAATCAACTAAATTTACCACTGTTTTTGCTCGATTTCGATTCTGGTTGTAAGAAACAGGGGCTTGATTATATTGTTTACCAATTCTTCGTGACTGGCACTGCCATAGCTAGTACAAGGACATGCGAATCCAAAAAAAATAGACTATCTTGCTGTCACAGCTTTGCACACATGGGGTTAAAGTCTTTTCACGCGATGACAGCCGTTCTAGTAAGGAGAAACGTACGGCAAACTATATGTTCACCAGGCTTTTGGCTGGTAACTGTGGATTATTACTTTTGTGACACACACATAATGAAACTCTGGATACTTCTTTTACTTACTGACCTCGAACAAAAATGGAGAATAGGCTCTTTGAATCCTGCATTCAGGCGTATGAATTTTTGCTCCTTGATAGTGCCAGCATTCTAGCTACCATTCAGATGTACAACCAGTCAACCAGCCAGCTGATATCACCTTGTAGACCCAATCCATCGTCAGTGGAATTTATGTCCCTCCAAAGATTTAGGCTCTCAGCAGGTAAAAAACTCAAGTGCAAGCAAGCACTTACAAAGGTATGAGTATAAAAACATTTCACTGTGGTACTCCTCTGAAGGCTGGTCTTAGTTCTTGGAAGGCGTCATCCTCATCAAAAACAGCGTGATGTCAGTGTTCAACTTCGACGCGTTGCTGCCGTATAACCATGCTTTATTTCGAAGCCTTATTGGGAGAAAAAAGGTAAAGGTGAACATGGAAGGGACTTATTTCCACCTTACTGTAATCATTCCGATGTACCTACACACAGATACTCATTCGGGAAATCTAAAAAAAGTGATAACATGAACGCCACTGACATCGATTAGCAGCCATATCATGCAGGTTCTCCAACCGGACACACTGTAGATCCGCGGTCCACATCCTAGAAGGCGAGTAACACCAGCAGCACCAAACATTTAGTAATCTCTTTTATATTCCTACGTCAAGTTAATGGTTGGTCACTTCTGTACTCCCGCCACTATGAATTTGGCATGGAAAGCAGCACTGTCTGCGGAAAACGATGTTTTCGCATACATAAAAACATGTCCCAACCAATGCAGCCTCTGGTGCTGGACATCATTTTCAATGGAAGACCCCATTGCACAACAAAAAATTCGATTTCTAATTTCCTCATTCCGGATTCTCTGACGAACTATGGTCCTGAGACAATGGCTGCCGAACACAAAAAGACGTCTCAGTTCCGCTGACCGAACTGTCATACAAATTGTCTGCACTGCAGCCTGATACACAGGTCCCTTTAGATTCATGGATGTACGGCTGTGACGCCATAGATGTCTCAAATTAGCAAATGCTACTCAAGCCTTTCAGATCTGTGCAGTGACCTCATTTGTCATATCACAACTAGAACTGACACAACTTCCAAGATGCAGATAAAGCTACAGAAGTTCGAACGTCTTTTCATGGGTTGTAAGCAACGTGTACAGTGACTGAATATCCAGGACCATGACGGTAAACTTTGTGGGCGCAAAGTGCATACCAAAGGACGTGATGACTTTAGCCATTTTATTAAAAAACACGTTTGTTGTATTCCGCTCTTTGAAACCGTAAACAATGTTGTCTGCATATTCCGGATCGACAAGATTTCGGTTAGAGGTGATTTGGACATCGGGATTTGAAGGCCTTCCAGCTTTTCAATTACAAAATTGAATAAGAATGGGGAGTGAGCATCCCTGACAGACACTGTCTTGCATATGGAAGCTTTCGGAAATCTTGCCGTATACTCTCCTATGTCTTGAAGTCTGACTATACGAAGAACGTTTTTTGTTCACCAAATTCCAAGCGTTTCAAGGAGAACAAACTGTTTAACCGAGTTGAGTGAGCCTTTATATTCCAGGAATACTAACATCTTGAGTCGTTTGTACGTATGCGGTTGTTATAGCTGCTGACGGAGTGTAAGGAGTCGGACGAAATGCTGCTTGCTACCTTTGAGTCAGTGCTACACGAGCCACCATAGGGCAACGAAGGACGCCAACAGTTTTCTTGCAGTCGTGATCGAGCTGATCCCCTCTTATGCCTAACTCGCTTTTTTGAGAATGGGGGTTATTATTTACCCCCTTCAGTTGTCCGTCACAGTCTCCTTTACCAAAATGCATGCAAGCAGATCAGATAAGCGCTGACTGAGTACTTCACCATCATTGAATAATGCGAGTGTTCTTTCGGATTAGGAGCTCGGTACCACTTGAGAGAACATATGCAATCACAGACCTATGAGGCCATGGGGGGTTCCACATTAACTTCTCAAGATTCTACTTTGGCTATGCGCCACAAGTGGGTAGCAACTGATGGCCACGATACTTGTTGTTCGAAGTATTTGGCACCATGGTCAAGTTGTTCTTTTTTATTCAAGGTGGCAACTCTTTTTTCATCGTTGATAATTCTCTCACAGTGTATTTACAGGGATCAGTCAACCGGATCAACCAAAATTACCTTCAAACATCACCGAATTTTTAGGCTCCTTCCATTTCCTTGGCTTTTTGTGTCCACCAAAATTTACGGTCGCCTTGCACGCTCATTCACCGAATTTTAGGCTCCTTCCATTTCCTTGGCTTTTTGTGTCCACCAAAATTTACGGTCGCCTTGCACGCTCATCTGTCTCATCGATAACAAATGGCAGTGTGATTAATTTGGATTCGTGTCCAACACGCATTTGGGGGACATAATGTGGCCGGGCGACCTTGGTTATTTCGAAGGTTAGCATTGCAGCACACACCAAACGCAATTGTTCGCCATTTTCCGCACGTACAGAGGACAGTCCATGTCGACAAACCGATTGAGTCTTAAGTGCTCTAATCCTGCCCATTTGTGCCTTCAGATCACCGGAAATCATAACGACATGCGAGGTTTTAGCTCACCGCCACGGACAATTCAGGACGTCATAAAACGTGTCTTTGGTGGTGTTAGAGTTGCGGTAATTTGGGGCGTAAAGAGATACTACAAACATACATCGATCAAACTCCCGCTTGTGACACGCCTTCACAGACGTTTCCGGACGAATCACGCTGAGACGACTATCAGTGGGTATCCATCCGCTGCCTCAGGAGAGTACTATCCTCTGCACATCCTGCCATATCAGTTTCTGGATCGCCAAAAGTTCGCAACTGGAAGCGAGTGGAGAGTAATAATGCGGCTAGCTCAACCAATGTGCTCGGATCTTGAATTATTGTTTCTGAGACACAGCACAAATCAATACCAAGCAAGTCCAGTGTGCGAACAAGAGCAGCTTGTTAATCTGCTTGCTTCAGAGTGCGGACAGTCAAAGCGTTCAGATAGACTAGGCGTCTTGGCCCGAAGATTGACTTTAGAAATACTGGTGATGTAGGTGCTGAATGAAGCGCAAATATTTGGCGATTTACATAAGCTTATTTGTATATTTGCAGTTTATGGTTGTACGCGGGTTAGTACACTGTCCGGACCCCCACATCTAGACAAGAGAATGATGAAGATCATCAATCCAGGTCTTTGGCTCACAAGCCCATCCTAAAGGCAGCAATGATTGGCTGAAAATGCAGGTTCGCTATCATTTTACGGAAAAAATTCGCAACACACGTTTCAACCCGCAACCTGGTGGACTAGGAGACTGTGCTTGTCAGAATTCGAACCACTGATCAACCTGGTATGAGAGACTGATTGGGCGGAAATCCCTCATTATGGCTCAGTTGGTCGCCGGGATACACAAACCTTCACCGTGGCAAGACTCAATCAATCTGTGATGGCCGAAAAGAGTCGTGGACTTGCGCGTCTGGCCTCCTTACTAAACAACCAAATTCATCATCATCATCATCATCAACGACAGCATGACATCAGTGCTCAACACCAATGCTTCACTGCCGTACAGCCATGACTTATTTGAAAGCCTT